ATTTAGACGAATTATATATACATAAATGTGTTTTCAGCCTTGTATCACAATCACTGGTGATCCGATGGATAAAATCTGTTGTAGAGTCGTCACTGGTTAATACGTACTTATATAATCCCGGCCAGGGAGGAACAAAAATTTACAGATCTAAAATTGTTGGGCTGTTGTTTAGACGAATTATATATATATATATATATATATATATATATACAGCCATGTATCACCATCATTGCTGGTGATCCGATGGATAAATCTTGTAGAGTTGTCACTGGTTCAGACGTACTTATACATATATATATATATATATATATAGATTGCCTAACAATGTAATTTTAACACACTATTTAGTATGTAAATATAAGAATGTTTAAAATATTTACAAAATGATGAAAATAAACGCAATATTTCGCTAGACTAACTAGCTTTATCAAGCGTGCATCTATCCAGGTGAAATCGGATGTAGATGATAAGAAACTTTTGCAGCTCAATGTATATGTTGAACTTGAATTTAGCTGCCTTGAAAATAATACATAATTTGGATGAAGTTCAAAATTTTTACAAAATTGGTAGTTGAAGTTAGCAACGTCCATTGGCCAATATTACAGGATAAAAAGGACGATGCTGTGTACTAAATTATTCTTTATCTTTCCTGTATCTTTTCTCATCTTTTTCGTTAAGACCATCAGGTTCTAAAGTGTGGAGTTGGTGGATCCACAAATTTTCTCTTCTCCTTCTCGCCGTGGTGTCCCACTCGGTGTTGACTTCTATGATTTGGAAGGTAACATTATCAAAAGAATGTTTCGTTGAACGAAGATGTCTTGTGAGAGGACAGTTTTTGTTGGTTTTGTACCATGAACGATGGTTATTGAGACGAATATTAAATTTGTCCATTGTTTCTCCCACATACTGAATGCCACATGTGTCACATGTTAATATATAAATTGAGTTCTCCGTTTTACAGTTGGAATTTGAGTAGATGGTATAATTTTGTTTAGTAACGGAGCTGATGAAAGAACTGCTTGTGTTGGCAGCTTTACAACACAAGCAGTTCCTTCGACCACATTGTTTGTAGCAACCGGGAGATGGAGTAGGCTGCTTTGCTAATACAGATGTCACTAATTTGTCACGGATGTTTTTAGGTCTTCTGAAGGCCATGACTGGTGGTGAGGAAAATACTTTTTTAAGATTTGAATCATTTTCTATAATTTTCCAATGCTTCTGAACAATGGAAGACACATTTTTAAAATCAGGATGGTAAGTGAGTACAAGGGGTGTTCTGTTAGCTGCTTTATTCTTATCTTTGTACTCTAGAAGTTCTTGGCGACTAGTTTTGTTTGCTCTTGCGAAAGCGCTATCAATGATGTTGTTATTGTATCCTCGAACAACTAGATGTTTACGTAGTTGTCCAAGTCTAGCATTTTGCGTATTTTCAGTAGAGCATATTCTCTTGATTCGCAATGCCTGGCTGAATGGGATGCCACGGGAGCAGTGTTTAGGATGGCAACTTTTAGGAGAAAGGAATTGATGTTTGTCCGTTTGTTTGGTATGAAGGTCCGTTATAATGGTTCCGTTCTTGATGTAACTCGTAGTGTCGAGGAAGTTTATTTTCTCCATAGATGATTCATATGTAAATTTTATTGAATGGTGGAAAGAGTTACAGTGTCCTAGAAATTCATTAAGATGTTCTTGTGAATCTGTCCATTTGAAATCAATATCGTCAATGAATCGGAACCATGATAAGGGCTGGTATGGAGCACTAGCCAAGAGGCGTTTTTCAAGTTGGCCCATAAATATGTTGGCATATGACGGGGCCATTGTTGTGCCCATACTAGTACCGTCTATCTGGAGATAATGTTTTTCATTGAAAGAGAAGTTGTTGTTCTCTAGCACTAGTTTCAGAAGTGTAACAAGGCACTCAGTTGGAGGATTTTTTTCACTACGAGTGTTCCATACCTCTTCACACGCTGCTATTCCTTCGTCTTGTGGAATGTTGGTATATAAAGAAGACACGTCCATGGATGCAAGTATAGTATTGCTTGATAGAGGATTGAGGCTTTCCATTTTCTTTAGATAATCAGTCGTATCTTGGATGTAAGAGGGTAGTTCTTTCACATGAGGTCTTAGATGATGGTCTACAAATTCTGATATCTTTTCAGTTGGATGACTATTTGCTGAAACAATTGGTCGACCTGGATTGCCCGTTTTATGCATTTTAGGCAACATATAGAATCTTCCGGCCTTTGCTTCGTTCTCAAGAGGTCGGAGATAATCAAAGGTGTCATTGTCTATATGCTTTTTGTCGAACATCTCTTGAAGGATTGTTGATCCTTCGAATAGTATTTAGTGTTGGATCTGTGGTTAATTGTTTATAAAATATGGAGTTTGAAAGTTGGCGATTTCCCTCTGCTATGTAATCTGTTTTATTCATGACAACCACAGCGCCCCCTTTGTCGGCAGGTTTTATTACGATATCCTCTTGATCTTTTAACGTTTTCAAAGCAATGCTTTCTGACTTGGATAAATTATAATTTCTTGTATTTGTTATACAGGACTTTATATCAGACCTCACAAAGCAGCCTACTCCATCTCCCGGTTGCTACAAACAATGTGGTCGAAGGAACTGCTTGTGTTGTAAAGCTGCCAACACAAGCAGTTCTTTCATCAGCTCCGTTACTAAACAAAATTATACCATCTACTCAAATTCCAACTGTAAAACGGAAAACTCAATTTATATATTAACATGTGACACATGTGGCATTCAGTATGTGGGAGAAACAATGGACAAATTTAATATTCGGCTCAATAACCATCGTTCATGGTACAAAACCAACAAAAACTGTCCTCTCACAAGACATCTTCGTTCAACGAAACATTCTTTTGATAATGTTACCTTCCAAATCATAGAAGTCAACACCGAGTGGGACACCACGGCGAGAAGGAGAAGAGAAAATGTTTGGATCCACCAACTCCACACTTTAGAACCTGATGGTCTTAACGAAAAAGATGAGAAAAGATACAGGAAAGATAAAGAATAATTTAGTACACAGCATCGTCCTTTTTATCCTGTAATATTGGCCAATGGACGTTGCTAACTTCAACTACCAATTTTGTAAAAATCTTGAACTTCATCCAAATTATGTATTATTTTCAAGGCAGCTAAATTCAAGTTCAACATATACATTGAGCTGCAAAAGTTTCTTATCATCTACATCCGATTTCACCTGGATAGATGCACGCTTGATAAAGCTAGTTAGTCTAGCGAAATATTGCGTTTATTTTCATCATTTTGTAAATATTTTAAACATTCTTATATTTACATACTAAATAGTGTGTTAAAATTACATTGTTAGGCAATCTATAATTTTATTTGTGTAATTGAATTAATCTCTGTACTGATTAATCCACACTCCCATAGATTTGTATGTCATGTGCTGCTATTTATAGGCACTTATATATATATATATATATATATGTCTAAATTGAAAACAACGTTCAAACCTATGATTGTGTTGGATAAAAACCGCAATTTTTATACGTGTGCATGCAACAAATGTCTTGGTAGAGTGGCCTAAATAATATATATATATATATATATATTAAATGACTGAATAATAGCCAACGATAAATCTTACGAGGCGATGGATCATATAAATATGATACAGTACACTACAAAATATAATATATAACCAGTCTAAAAGGGTACAACATCACCAAAAAATGACAATAAACGAACAAATGTAACTATAAATATTTCGGATGACAGATATCCTTCATCAGTATGAGCACGTTGTGAAAATTGGTGATGTTGTACCCTTTTAGACTGGTTATATATATATATATATATATATACAAGTCTAAATTGAAAACAACGTTCAAACCTATGATTGCGTTGGATAAAAACCGCAATTTTTATACGTGTGCATGCAAAACAAATTTCTTGGTAGAGTGGTCTAAATACAGCACAAACAACATTTTCCAAAAGACCAAAAAGTGAAAAAGTATATTTTAACAAAACGCATTTGACTTGCAGGTCGATATATATACAAGTCTAAATTAAAAACAACGTTCAAACCTATGATTGCGTTGGATAAAAACCGCAATATTTATACGTGTGCATGCAAAACAAATGTCTTGGTAAAGTGGTCTAAATACAGCACAGACAACATTTTCCAAGAGACCAAAAAAGTGAAAAAGTAAATTTTAACAAAACGCGTTTGACTAGCAGGTCGAACAACGGATGTTCTTAAACCCTGCTGACTGCCATGGCGATTGCCAAATAAACGGATCACCAGATGTAAATAAAGGCAACAGTAGTATACCGTTGTTAGAAATTCATAAATCGATTGAGAAAAAAACAATTCCGGGTTACAAACTAAAACTGAGGGAAACACATCAAATAGAGGAGAACTACGACACAACAGAAACACAACATTAAAATGTAACACACACAAAACGAACTATAATATAACAATGGCCATTTTCCTAACTTGGTACAGGACATTTTAAGGAAAAAAATGGTGGGTTGAAGCTGGTTTTGTGGCTAGTCAAACCTCCCGCTTTTATGGCAATATTGAATATAACATTAAAATGACAACATTACATGACAGGACTACAATACAAATAAATGTGAGAACATATAGGACAGAGAAACATACGAAATAAAAATAAAAATGGATCTTAATTTATTAATTAAATACCAAACAGAAAACAACAAACTTGCGGAAAAAATGGTATACCGCAAATATAATAATATTATTTTCCAAACGACAGACTTATAACGGACGCAAATTGAAGATTATTAAAAACAGGGTTTTTTTCAATCCGAAAAGAATGCCTAATCTACAGCACTTAAGAACTGCCGGTCTACAAAAAGTAACGTATTATATTGAGAAAATATCAGGGCAATATCTTTAAACATGAAGAAAAGTGCCGACAACTTTAAATAAAAAAGGAAAATACTTGTTTGGCATTCCAAATTTTATATCAATATAAAACAAAACTTTGAACGCAGACAATTTATTTCAAAATTACTTTCATTACATATGTATATATGTATTATGCCAATTTTGTGAGTGAGAAAAAAAGAAAACTAAATAAGAGAGAACCAGAAAAAACATAAATAATTGTAAACGCTGTGATAAACGGTAATAGTATTGTTAAGCAAACGCATAATTTACATCCTGAACTTGATTTTCTCAGTTCAAATTTCGGCTTTCTGTAGTTGTGTTTCAAACCCAAATGTTCTTTAAACTGTCCTATACGATCAGGATCTAGCTGACAAGACTCAGTGTAAAGTCCTTTCAGATCATCTAGCATATTTGTATAGCTTAATGAAGCTTGGCGGAAGGTTTCCCATTTAACAGAGCTATAAAGGTTCTTCTGTTTTTTATCATGCCCAAACGAGCTATCAGGAAAGCAAGTGCATAACCATGGATTCCCAAAGAAGAAATGAGGCAGGTTTTTGCTTTCTATACATAAACCCAGAAAATAGAGATAATATCCAAGAGCCTCTTTCAACCCAAAAAGTGAATTATGGTCGCTTGGCGTTGTAAGAAAAGTAACGCAGTAGAAACAAATAGTCTTTAAATGTTGAGATGCAGCAACTGATCTAATCTGATTTGTTCTATGCTGATTGGCAACATACGATTTCAGCAGACGACAAGCAGTCATAAGGTATTTTTGGCTGTTGTTTCGTCTACAAATATCAAGTATCTGTTTTTCATATGCAGATGTACATTCTCTCCATAAACAATTACTGTCAAACATTGAGGAGGCTTCTGTACTGCGATGTGCCCACTTCATTACAGCATATACTTGACAGTTCATCTGTTTTATTCCGAATCCATGGGGTAATTTTGCAGTATATGGGTTGGGGACACAATCGTTCCGTAAATGCAATGATGGGACTAAATCAATATCAAGGCTTGGTTTTTTATCGGACTCTATTGTCACATGCGTTCCTTGTGCCGATCTGATGTCGTTACGAAGATCAGTAATATCTTTCTCCTCGTTAAGCGTTATGTTGATATCGAATGTAGGAGGTTTTGCAGTGCGACGTAGAAAATAAGGACTGTTTATATTATGAAATTGATCATTAATAACTTTTCGCGTTTTGTCAATTATAGATTTGAAAACTTTCTCCTGCAAGTGTTTTGTGTTTAAGAAGTATTCCCCATTTGCAAACTTTTTAAATATTTCATTCTTTTCTATCCATGGAAATCTTCTGATCAGATATTCAGCATTAATGACACGAAGTTTCATCATGCCAAGAATTTCCTCAGAGAAATAATCTCTTGCTAACACTTTCGACACTTGCATTCCACTTATATCAAATAGAAGTATGCAATCAAACTCTAAAGCATCATTGACCTTTAATCCATCCCTTGAACTACCAAATCGGATCAAGTCGTCTTTGATAATAAGTCCTTCAAAATCTTCATTTGCAAATTTATTGACATTTTTCATTACGCACCTTAATATTTCATCGGTTGTTTCGCAGTGTTTCTTCCATTCTGTGTCGTTGATATTCATACATCTCAAAAACCTGCTTTCACGTATTAATGTACCCAAATTCTGTTCATGAGGACCTAATGCGAATACTGGTGGTCGCCAGTTGTTCATTTTTTCGCCTATCAGGTTCATAACTGTCAGCTCTTCCTTAAAAAGATAATGATAATATATTCACTTGAATAATTTCCTTAATTATATATCAAGTTTTAAAAAATTGTATAATATAAGAAGTATCAAATTATTTAGTAGAAAAACAAAGGATATTGGTATCAATCCATGATACAAAATCAGTACATGCACAACAGAACAACATGCGAATTGCAGTTCTTCATCAAAAAGTTACAATGAGGCCTTCAAAACTGAGCTATTTTATTTATTTTGGATTGAAATAATAGTTTTTACAAAAATTCGATTGTTCAATTTAATTTCTCAAAAATAAATTCGCAATTATCTAGATATTCTTATGTGATTGTCACTGAATATATCGTTTTGATGATAGAGAGTCATATTTTGACGTTATGTCATGACACGAATAGTAGCATCGTCACAGCGCGCCGTCGTTAGCCGGAAGTTTTGTGTATTAGTTTTGCAGAAATGACAAATATAGAATGAAATGCACTCCATAGATTTATTTGTAAGTAGCTCTGCATTTGGAGAAAATAAATATGTGTACTTTATCATCTTAGTAACGTTAAGCGTCTCTACCGAATATAAGAGAAATGACAAACAAACAATGATTACTAGTATATTGGAAATTTCGGTATCCACATGGACCCACAACCAGTTCTATATTGGTATCACTGATTGTTCACATGATTTCATAGACTTGCCAACAGATTTTATCATATCGACAAGATTGCAGTGCAAAGCGAATACACCATATGTGGATTCATTTATTTTCAACGGTTATTTTAAGTATAAATGCACAATAAGAAATATGTGTTTTCCGTTTTGATCTGAAAAACATTGAATATGAGATGTAAGAAGTCGAAAGATCAATAAGCGCGCAAATTATACAAGAATTTTGTTTTGCGAGTACGAACAAGTAAGCCATTTATTTTAAATCAATGTGTTAAAGTCTAAATAAGATCTGAAGAATTTTAAAGTTGAAAGTGTGTTTCTATGAGCACTCAGTTCATAATCACTTAGGTAACAAATATGAAAGAAGAAATGATTAATAAACTTTACGAAATCGAGGAATAAATTTCAATATATAATTGATATTTTGCATCTAAAATGAACGTTAAGTTAATGAACTTACCTTAATTGAAAAATTACATCAGATAAATACACTCAATTTGATAAATTGTTCAAAAACATGTCGATGGAGTTGAAAAGTATGAATCATTCCGAAAGTTAATAATTTGAAAACATTGATTTCATGCCAACAAATTTTCATATTGTCAGGTAACCCGTGATAAACTAATGATCACATAACGTATGATTTAAATGAGTATTGAACAGTACTGTTATGAAGTAAATGTTTTCGTAACCGTTCATCCACTTCACAGGTAGATCAAGTATGTTAAGTAAAAATACACAACACAATAAATTGACGTTGTCAACAAATAATTTCTTCTTCTTTTTGGCAGAGACTTTGCATTTTTATTTTTAGTTTACCGACAATGTGCATACATGTATACTGTTTTATCCTGCAATGTAATATTGACGCATTACGTTACGTTCTTCGTTTACAAATTTATAGTAATCAACATGGACCAAATCAGGACCTGTCATTTACGAATTCGGTGAACATTTCAATATCTTTATAAACAGGGCTTTCTTCATCAACTGAACGCATAAAAGTACTGCAAAATTGTTCTCCCATGTCTGAATTTATTTATAAAGGGTATGTAATTGAAAATTTTACGTTATCCCATTTCATTTAAATTCTATTTTAGGATCTTGATTATGTAGTATTGACAGGCATTCCTTATTTACACATAACAATGCTGATTACAATTTATATACTTGATAGATAAGTCAAATATAGCATACCCAATAGTATATCTGTATTTGCAGTGGATTGTTTCCTTTTGATATGACGCAAGTAAGCAAGAGCATTTCATTTAAATGTGAGTTAAACTGTCACGCATTTGTGTTGATTAGTAACTATATGGCTGTAAAATTTGTGAGAAGGAAATGATTTTTAGAAATAGCTATGTTATTGAATCATATAGAGTAAAAGAAAATTCTGCAAATGTAAACATCATTCGATAAACTTATCTTACCTCTTATTTTTTATTTCAAAGTAAAAAATTGACAGAATTGAACGCTTACTTTTTATAATTTTATACGGCTGTACGTGTGCACATTTTTTTATATGAACTGCATAAAAATAAAATATATTTGCTATATAATAATACAATCCAGTTTCTATAACTGATTTATTAACAAGTACATAGTTTTATGGTCAGACTACAAAATGACAATATGTGTATAAGAACTTCTATTGATCTCTTTAATTATGTTTATTTAAGAACGTGCAGACATGTGAGAGTTGCTGATCTGTCAATTATAATTACTGTAACAGATGATATGGTAATAAAATGCGGTGAACATTATAACACTTCTCCGGCCTAAGATAAAAACATATTAACTCAATTACAGAAAATTAATGTCTTTTCACGGCTACTGATTGATAAGTACATATCAGTTTGAAAACAAATAAAAATGTCAGATCACAAAGATTCATTCGTTAAAGTTTGTATGCACTAAAACTATAATGTCCTACTATGAAAATAAAAATAAAAATGTTCGCACTGGTCTTGTTGTTACTTCTTACACTAATTGATATGTACACACATGCACTGCGAAGTAGTTAATGCACTTCAAATTGTTGTGAGGATTATTATGCCTCTGTATAGATCAACCATTTAATTCAACACAAAATTCTTAATTGTTATCAAAGGTACCAGGCTTACAATTTAATACGCCAGACGCACGTTTCGTCTACATAAGACTCATCAGTGACGCTCAGATGAAAAAAGTTATAAAGCCAAACAAGTACAAAGTTGAAGAGCACTGAGGACCCAAAATTCCAAAAAGTTGTGCCAAATACGGCTAAGGTTATCTATGCCTGGATGCGATGGTTCATTTCTTATTCTCTTCGGAGTTGATTTGTTCAGTCAAGTTTGATGGTTTCTCGATTTGCGGTTGTTCGGTCTCAGGAGTACTTATCGGTATAGTTATTTCTGGCTCAAACAATTCACTGTCATTGTCACATTTTTCTTCATTTTCGTTGTTTGTACAATCGAAGTTTCGTACTCTGATGTGATGTATATGTCTTCGAATGACACGTCCATCTGGCAATTTGATATGAAATGAAAGTGGTCCTGATTGTTTTTATAACTTCTCCCGGAATCCATTTAATTTTTGAACCAATTGCGAAATTTCGGGCAAATACTTCCTGTCCTACATTGATTTGTCTGTTCACAGATTTCTTGTCGTGATAATGTTTTTGTTTTTGTTGTCTCTCCTGGACTCGCTTCTCGATATTTGGAAAAACTAAATCTAGACGGGACTTGAGTTTTCATTTCATCAGCAGTTCTGATGGTGCCAAATAAAGGCAACAGTAGTATACCGCTGTTCGAAACTCATAAATCGATAGAGATAAAAACAAATCCGGGTTACAAACTAAAACTGAGGGAAACGCATCAAATATAAGAAGAGAACAACGACACAACAAAAACACAACATTAAAATGTAACACACACAGAAACGATCTATAATATAACAATGGCCATTTTCCTGACTTGGTACAGGACATTTTAAGAAAAAAATGGTGGGTTGAACCTGGTTTTGTGGCATGCCAAACCTCCCGCGTTTATGGCAACGTCAAACGCAACACCAAAACGACAACATCACATGACAATCCTGTCGTTGTTTGTGGCGTTACACGGTAGTTGAAAAGAAAACGGTTCAACTTTTCCTGGACAGTTCCTTCTTTGATTTTCTTCATACCTTCTTTGAAACTTTGAACTGCTCGTTCAGCACAACCATTACTAGCTGGATGCCACGGCGCGGAAGTGGGATGTTCAATTCCATTTGATTTTACATAATCGGCGAATTCCTTGATTTAAATCCAATTTTGTATATTCTTGTCCTCCTCCAAGCATTGCGTATAAATCCTCAGTTTTAGGAATCGGATAGTTATCCAACTTCGACACGGCATTAACGGTTATCTTGTAGTCACCACAAATTCTAATAGATCTGTTCTCCTTAACTTCAGGTACTATCGGAGCGGCCCAGTCGGAAAATTCCACTTGCTGAATCTGACCCTCCTTCTCAAGTCGTTCAAGTTCCATCTCCACTTTATCCTTCAACGCATACAGCAAAGGGCGAGCCTTGAAATATTTCGGTACGGCACTCTCATCAACATAAATCTTGGCTTTCATGCCTTTTACAGTTTCAACTTCATCTTTCAAAACCTGCTTATTTTCTTCCAAGATCACATTTAAATCACTCGGCTGATTATCACTTCCAACGACGGAGAAATATCCTTCCAATCCAGTCGGAGTTTGTTCAGCCAGTCTCGGCCAGGTAAATTTGGACCTTTACACTATCAGTAATGGCAATTTTGCGCTTTCCTTCTTGTAATTACATTGACGATTGCACGTCCTATTACAGGAATCTGCTCTCCCATGTATGTTCGGAGTTTAGCACTTGTTGGTTCGATTCTAAATTTCGACTTGTATTCTTTGTAAGTATCCTCGCTCATGATAGAAACTGACGCTCCGATATCTATTTCTATGGCTATTTCACATTCATTCACATTGATTTTCACTTTATAAGCCTCATTAGATTTATTTCCAAAATGAAAAACTGTATAGACTTCATTTTCACTTTTATTTTCACCCTGCTCCATGAAATTAGCACGTGATTTAAATCGTGATTTAAACTCTCTGTGATTTTCACTTAAATTTCCATTGACAGATCTTTTACGGCATTTCTTTGCGATATGTCCTTTCTTTTAACAACTGTGGCATTTTGCATCCTTAAACCTACAATCAGCGGCAAAGTGATTTCCTCCACACCGGTAACAATCTCCTTGTTTCGAATTTCCAGAGTTGTTTCTTGTATATGATTTTGAAACTTTGTTGACTTGTTACTGAATTGTTGCATTTGTCCCACTCGCCTGGATGTCTTGTGGGTTCTTCTCAGCAGTCTCTATAGCGGTAGCAATTTCCAATGCCTTGTCAAAAGTTAAATTCGGCTCTGCTAACAGCCTCCTCTGTATGCGGTCACTCTTTATTCCGACGACTAACCTGTCTCGTAGCATCGCATTTAACGTGTCACCATAACTACAGTGTTCTGTCAGACTTCTTAGTGCTGCAATAAAAGTCCTCACTGACTCATCGCCGTGTCTTGTTCTACTGTTGAATTTAAATCTTTGAATAATTTCTGATGGTACTAGATCTCGGTGGTCTTTCACTAGTTTTGTTAAATCGGGAAGTGATTTCGTTTCTGGTTTGGCTGGTGCTAATAAATCCCTTTTTAATTTGTAGATATTCTTCCCACATACACTTAAGAAAATATCTCTTTTCTGGTCTTCTTCGTCTATTTCATTAGCGTTAAAATAATGTTCCATACGTTCTACATATTGTGTCCTATCTTCGGATTCATCAAAAGAGTCTAACTTCCCGTAAGTCGGCATTATTACGTGTAGAAATTCACATTTATTTTAATTTTCAGTTTTTTTCCTCGTCGCCAAAATTTGTAATATATTTGCTATATAATAATACAATCCAGTTTCTATAACTAATTTATTATCAAGTACATCGTTTGATGGTCAGACTACAGAATGACAATATGTGTATAAGAACTTCAATTGATCTCTTTAATTATGTTTATTTAAGAACGTGCAGACATGTGAGAGTTGCTGATCTGTCAATTATGATTACTGTAACAGATGATACGGTAATAAAGTGCGGGGAACTTTATAACACGTCGGTTAACGAAAAAGAAAAGTAATCAACTCTAAAATAGCATAAAATATAAATAAAAACTCATTAAACATACCAAGCTAATAATTTTGTACGCCTAATCCTCGTTTCTTGCACTTACTGCTCATTAATAGCATTTTATTTTTTATCTTTTTATCATTCTTTCTTCTTTTCCTTTGTTGAATATATTGATATACTTTATAAAAGTTAAGTGAAATCGCTTTTTTTTTATTAACGAATTTAAATGCATCAAATTGATCGATGGCTATAGATGTGTAACGGTTATTTATAATTCCTGGTTTTCCAAAAACCATTATATCTGGGTCAGAAGAAATAAGGCTTACGTGTACATTTACATGAGAGTGATACACTAACTCTGCAGGTTTTACTTCTTATTTCATTTGCTTTCAATGTTTCTATAATTGTTCCTTTATTCATATTTGTTTTTTCGAAAACTTTTTGGAAAGTATGTGTTAATTGGTATATTGATTTATCATGATTGCACTAAAGCTGTACTATTAACTATTGTAAACT